CCGACAGGCCCTTTCGCGCCACCTCGACGCGATGCTACAGGAGGGTTTCGCGGCGGCCCCGGAAGGCGGGCGGATGGTGTCGTACTCCCAGCTGTTGCTCCTCGCGGCGATGCGAGGGATGGGGACGGCGGATTTCACCGACGACGACGCCCTGCGGCGCCGGGCGCGGCTCACCGGGTTAACCGACGAGCCCGGCATCTGCGACGCGCCCGACGCGCTTCGTTTGCTGCTCGGCTGCGCGTACATGATCTCGACGAGCGAGGCCGCGGGGGTGCGGCATGACGGGCTTTCCGGTTCCTCCCTCCTCGCCTTACAACGGAGCATCAACCGGTACCTGCTTCAGGCCCCGGGGTTCGAATTTCACGCCGGAGAGGGCGCCACGGCGGGCGTGGCGAGCCCCGACGTGGTTTCCTCGCGCACGGTGAACCGGCTCTTCGCCACGTATCCGTTTTTATCGATGGAGTGGGTGGATTTGGTCCTCCGCGCCGTTTCCGAGCGGTCGCGCGAAAAGGAGGAGTCGGGGGCGCTCGTGGTCGCGGACGAACCCCTTCCTGCTGCCGCTGCCGGGGATCCCCGCGCGCCGCTCCGAGGGCTTCTCTCCGGCGTCCTTCACGCGATGTTCGAGGCGAATCGGGTGGAGCAGAAGGCGGGGAAGCAGCCCGCCCTGCCGGCGATGACGAGCACGGCCGTGGAGTTGCTATTACACTACTTCGCCTCGGAAGGGTGGGCGACGGGGGCGGATCTGCACGCCCTTTTGGAGGATCTCGCGCGGCTCTACGCCCTCCGCGTGAGCACCCCTGGCGGGGGAAGACTGGGGGATCGAACGATCCCTCGTCTTCGGCATCACCTGATGGAGATTACCCTTCAGATGCGGCCGCGCGATCTCCGTCGGGTTCTCACGCAACGCCTCGTTCCCCTCACCGCGGGCGGTGTAGGGGGGGGGAGGGGGGGTCGGAAAAGGGGATCGCCTGCAGGCGGGCCTCATCGAGGCGTTTCTTCGCGCGCTCGCGAGCCCCGTGGTGGCCTTTGCGATCCCCGACGAGCTGCTGCTTCGCCACTGGATGGACGTCGCGTTGCCCTGCCTGCGGGCGTCGTCTTCGGTCCCCGGCCGCGACGGCCTCGCGCTCGCCGCGCACGATTTCCTCATCGCCGCCTTCACCGCCCGGAAGGGGGTGAGTGCGTGGTTCGTGCCCACCTACATCAACGTTTTCATCCCCACCGCCGCGGTGGATTCCGGGCTTGAAGGAGGGGGGCCCTCGTTGGGGTTGTTGGAGCGCTTCGCCTCGTGCGTTCGCGCGGTTTGTCAGGGCCTCGAAGCGAGCGATGGGGGAGTGCTGCAGGGGCTGCTTGACGGAGGGGGCCTCGCGCTCTCCCCTGCCTTGAAGGATGCCGTCGCCGTGCATGCGGAGAAGCTGCATCGCCTCACCCCGGTGAACGCGGTGCTCCTGATCATCTCCTCGCTTTTTGATATGCTGTGCGTGTTGTGGAACGCGACGCCGGGGTTCATCACGGATACAAAGAAGCGGTTCTTCATCTACTTCTCCGCGCTCGCGAATCTGCTGCAGTGCACCACAACGCAGGTGCTGAACCGCGCGTGCGCGTCGATCGAGGCGATCATGATTGAGCATCTGAGCAACGCGATACAGGTTCAGCATCAGCTGTTGAAATACGTCGGATCGGTGGTGGATAGGATTGAAGGGAACTCGAAGAAGGGCGTCGCGGAGTGGTTCCTCAAGCTGAACAACAGGGTCCTTCAGAAGAGCGTGCCGAGGCGATCCAAGCTGTGATACCCTTCGATACAAAAAAAACGTACATATATACATATATACATATATATAATGTATATGGCTATCATGTTTGAAACCTTTCTATGGGCAAGTGTTTCATTATTTCTGAAATCGAACACGTGTCGGAATGCCTATAATAATGAATGCAGCCGGGGAATTATTATTGCTCTTTTTAGTATTACTGTATCTAAATGGTAGGAATTCCTATCAAATCACCAAATAATGTTTGAGTTTTGACTATCTATTGCCTTCGGTAAAAAAACTATCCATAATATAGTTAATGGAACGAACGAAGTACCATACCCTTTGAATATTTAATGGCTCACCACAAAAGATGCATCTGATCAGTGCTTACCTTCAGGGAATGAACTCATGCGTGATCAAGTCTTCCGTTGATCATTCGTATCATCTATTGTTTTATTTTATTAACATTCACATTTTTTGAAATTTTCTATATTTATTTATGAAGGTCTCTCTTAGTTTTCTGATTATAAGTACCCTCTTTTACTGTGCAGTTTCCTCAAACCGTAAGATTGAACTTGCTATGGTTCGCGCCTTATTCTCAAGCTTTAAAAAAAATAATTAATAACCATTGTCAACTCTCTAAGATTGGAATTTAGTTCGTGAGAAAAAAGAAAACTTTCTACTAAAGCGTCTTAATACTGATAGCGGAAGTTCAGATTATTTTCGCACCCCTCAGCGGTATCCATTCCCTAGATTCCTCATGTTATCCTACTCCGCGTATCGTTTATCGCATGTCGGCAATGTCGTCAGCGGCCTTGGGAAGATTTTATGCGCGATCTCGCCAGGCTTCGCCTCGACCCCGTCGAGTGGCTCCACCGGGGTGGGATGGGGGGGAGCTGCCGCGGCGCCCTCGTCGTCTTCGCCGCTGCACGAGAACCCAACGCCCCCTCAACGCGCGGAGAACCCGGCATCCACCACCGCGACGGAATCGTTTTCCCGATCTCCCCAAGGGCTCCCGCGTGAGCTCGTCGAGGATCTCACCCGGGCGAATCACACGCAGCAGCGCGGGATGTCGACGACGGGGGTGAATCGCCCAAAGACGGTTCCCGCCACCCGCGCCGGCCGCGCCGCGGGGTTCACCTCTCTTTTCATGAAAATCGCGTGGGATAAAGCGATCGGCGGGGGCGGGGAAGGGGCGGGCTCCGAGAATGGCCTCCTCTCCCTCCGCAGCCATCAGAGCATCGTGGAGACGCTCTGTCGGATGCGCGGCGCGGTGTTGAAGCTCGGCCAGATGCTGAGCATCCAAGACGAGCAGATGGTGCCCGCCCACATCACGGCGATTTTCGAGCGGGTGCGGGATCAGGCGCTCTCGATGCCGCCTAAACAACTCATGCGGGTTCTCGCCGAGGAGTTCAACGACAAAAACTGGCGGGAGACGCGCTTTGTGGAGTTCGACGAGACGCCGATCGCGGCGGCGAGCATCGGGCAGGTGCATCACGCGCGGATAAAATCCTCAGCCCTTTCCGAGGAGGAGCGCGCTCGCCGTGGCGGTGGGGAGGATTCCGTAGAGGTGGCGGTGAAGGTGCAGTACCCCGGCGTCGCCCAAAGCATCGATTCCGACGTGGCGAACCTGAAGATGTTGATGAAACTTAACATTTTCCCCTCGGGTCTGTTCATCGACAACGTCCTGAAGGAGATGCGGAATGAGCTGCGTTCGGAGTGCCAATACGCGATGGAAGGGGCGAAGCAGAATCGGTATCACGACTTAATCAAAGCCGATTCTTCCCTCAACACCTTTTTTTCCGTTCCTTATGTCTTCCAGTCGTGCAGTACGGACCGCGTGTTGATTTCCGAGTTCGTGCCCGGCATCTCCATTGATCGACTCGCGAAGCGCGACGACATTCCACAGGAATTTTGCAACCATTTGACGGAGCAGATGCTGCTTTTGACCTTGAAGGAGCTCTTCTGCTGGTCTTTTATGCAAACCGACCCAAACTACGCAAACTTTTTGTACGACGCGAACGCGAATCGCGTGCATCTATTGGATTTTGGCGCGGCGCGGAATTACCCCCTTGAGTTTACGGATAATTATTTGGAGCTGGTTGCCGCCGCTGCACGGCAAGAGCGTGAGGTCATTGTAAAGAAGAGTATTGAGCTTGGCTTTTTATCTGGCCGTGAGGTGCTGGAGATGATTGATGCGCATGTGAGCAGTGTGGTGCTGCTGGGCAAGCCCTTTCGTGATCCGATGCACCCTTTCGACTTTGGCTCCGAGAACCTCCCCAGCCAAATTGCGAAGTTCATACCCATCATGTTGAAACTCCGCCTGCGTCCTCCACCTATACATTCCTACTCATTGCATCGCCGATTGAGTGGTATTATTTTGTTAGCTTCGAAGCTCAAAGCCATCGTACCGTGTGGTGAAATTTTCTGGAAGATCTATGAGGACGCAAAGGAAGCGATGTTGAAGAAGAGACAGGCGCAAGCGGCTTCGTCATCGGAATAGAGGTTATAAGCGGTCCGATAGCTATCCTCTGGATGTGTGCAAGACGTGCGGTAGGGAGGCGGGAGGGGATACCTCAGTTCGCTTCCATTAATTTAAGGACTACTGGCGAAAGGTGAATAGAACAGAAAAACAAATCTACCATCCATGCAACTATAAATGGTAGAAGAACATCAAATTTTGATCAATAAATTAGGATATGTGTTATGTGTATGGGGGGAGGGGGAGGGTGTTTATTTATTTTTTCCGCTTCTCTGTGATTGTATATACGGTGGTTTATCTTTGCTCAGTTGTTAGCTGGGCAAACACTTTTTAAGGGACAAGGATAGTGAACACATAAATAGTCTTTCCCCAACACTGACGTTTAAGTGATGAATTCTAGGAAAGGGTCGGAAGCTTCAAAGGGTTTGGTAGCAAAGACTCATAAATCCCCTGCCAAAGAACCAGCAGAAATCCCTCCGGTGACGTGCCCGGCCAAGAAATATGTCTTTGATCTCCACTCGTATGTGTGGAAGGAGCTGGATACCCTCATTCGCGTTGTGCGCCCGAGTAAGGGACTAGGCCGTGGCGGCATGCGTGTTTGCTATGATGTCGAGGAACTTGATGAGGAAGGGCGATCAACCGGGATGGTGGCGAAGATGTTTAGGCGCGTGATTACAGATGTGGTGGAGAAGGATTACTTTAACGAGGGTGAAGCGCAGTGCATGTGCGAAATTTTTGCGAATAGCTTTAACCGAATCAACGTCGAAGGGGTCGAGAAGCCGAACATATCTTTCCTGCAGTGCTATGTAGTGCGAATCCCTCGGCGTGATATCCCGAAGGCCTATCAGGACATGAGCAAAGGCTTCTTCTCCTATACGACGCAGGATACAAAGGAAATGATGTTTGTAATGGAGCCAAAGCTGACAGGTCGTTTTACGAAGTATAATAGCAATTATGGTGGGGTGTACCGAGAGGAAAAATGGGAGGACGCGACCGACACCCAGACGAAGCGCCGAAGTATGATTTTTGAAGCCGCGGAGTCCTTTTCGCATTTCACACTCGCTGAGAGCGGTGGATCGATGCTAGTGTGTGATCTTCAAGGCGTGAACGACCTCTTCACCGACCCACAGATCCACACAGAGGATGGGAAGGGCCTGGGGATGGGCAACATGGGGCAGGAGGGCATCGCCAAATGGGTGGAGAACCACTGCTGCAACGCGCTTTGTAAATCTCTCGGTTTACAGCCGCTGGGGAATGACCTAAAGCCGTTATCAAGCGATGATTCAAAAAATCGTAACTATTTCATCTGCCTGCGCGCACAACTGCAGCGTCATGTTCCTCTTCGCCCTCAAGACCTCGTGCCGCTGGTGAAGCCGTTGGAGGAGATGACGGAAAACGAACGCTTTGAGTATGTCTTAAAGCTGTCCGAGCTAACCAGCTGAGTTTTTTTCACTTTTTTTTTCTGGGAAGGCCGTTTCCCATCTACAGAATGACAAAAAAAGGTAAGGGGAAGTTTCCTTTTTAAACGGTATTCGGCGACTATGGAGTGAAAAGAGAGGCAGAGGCGAAACAGTTTGACATCACATAAAATGAAACACACACACACACACACTAGGGTGAACAGATAATTTAAAGATGCGTTTTACTAAAAACAGAAACCCCAAATTTTTGTCGACTTTCCCTTTCCTTTGTAATTTACCTTTCCTGTTTATTGCCTTTACCAGCGATCTGCATGTTTTGCGTGGCACAAGTTCCGATGGAATAACTGACTCGTGATGTCTGCCTCTTTCATGAGGTAGGCTGCAGTACATAAATATATATGAATGTAACCCTTTCCTAGTGAGGTTTAATATTCTTGAATTTTGATATATACATGTCTAGGGATGGTCCTAGCAGCTCAGAAAGGTTGATCTATCAACCATTTTAATCCACTTCAGTATTTTACTTAGTTTTGTGTTTTGCTCGATCCATCATGAGCTATGCATTTCTATCGGAAACCAAAGCGATTCGCATTAGTGGTAATTACTACTCTTCATATTTTACTACGTGGTTCGATTTCTTTGTCCATGTTGGGTAATTATAATGGATACTGACTTTTTCGCGTATTTATGGTTGAACCTATGTGCTTACGCGATGGCCGATGTTTCTGTGTTTGCCTATTGATATTCTAGATCATCAGGAATATTTTTTCCGATTTGTCGAAAATATCATCCATGGATACATTTCAAGGAGGGTAATGATAAAACATTTTTTTTATGGAGATGTAAGTTGAAGTGCCTCGTTGGGGTTGCTGTAGCAACTGACGGACTTCTCTATAAGAATATGTTCTGCTTGTTCGAATTTACGTCTTTACTCAAAAAGCACAGTGTTCTTTATTAACCCGCGTTAATTGGTAGTTGATTATGCCTTGCTAATGCATCACATATTTACGGATTTATCCCATATTGACTTTTTCCCCTTCCAATATCGGTTTTATTACTTAAGAAGAATAACAGTCTATAACCGACACTATTCAGACTGAAAGGTATTTTTCAAATAAACATAACGAGAAATACACCTGCTTCTTTCATCTACTAAATTATTTAATACGCGTCTAATAGTTTTAGAAGTCTTCAGCGCAGTTCGTGCGCGCTAAATCAGGACTTTTTATTGTTGAAGGCTCATTGCTTAATAGGGGTCTGTGAACCGTGAAAAAGGTTAGTGTGATTTTTTTTTTACAGTCTACCGCAAAGCACGTGAATACCACTCCCCTACAGACATACGCGTACGCAGCTCGTATCGGAGGAAACGGACGGGGACCCAAGCACTAGGACCTCCCCACCACACCGGCCTCATCGTTTCGAGGGAAACTGGACGCCACAGAAAATAAACAACCAACCAAACAACCAAACTCATCACCTCAACCAGATTATGGAGGTTCCCTCGGATAGCACCCCGGGCGCGCACGCGAGCGCGCTAGAGAAGGAGCGTCTCGCTGCCTTTCTCTACCGCCTTTCCCGCGAGCTTGACGAGTTCTTCGCGCACCAGCAGCGGCTGTTGAAGCACTCCTACACGGAGCTCACCAAACGCGTGGCGCAGCTCCATCGTCTGGTGGATTACAACGGCCTTTCCGGCGTCGGGGCGGGGGGGGAGGGGCTTCCCGCGGTGACGCCGCTTCGCGCCGGCGGGGAGCGCCCCTCCCCCCGTCGTGGGAGCCCCCCC